AGGATTCTCTAAGTATATCATCGTATCATCACAAAGAGTGATTGACAGCTTTGTTTCTTCTTTGCCTATTCTAATACCTTCAATTTCTTTTTCTTCTCTTATTGCTAAAGCTAACATTTCCAGTACAATATTGAACAACAATGGTGATTATGGACAACCTTGTTTCACCCCTGATTTTATTGGAAATGCTTCTGGCTTGTCCCCATTACATATGATGCTTGCTTAAGGTTTTAGGTAGATGCTACTTATTATTTTAAGGAAGACCCTATTTATTCCTATGCTTTCTAGTGTTTTTAATAGGAATTGGTGTTATATTTTGTCAAAAGCTTTTTCTGCATCTATTGAGATGATCACATGGCTTCTGTTAGTTTTATTGTTGATATGGTCAATTATGCTAATAGTTTTCCTAATATTGAACCAGCCCTGCATTCTTGGTATAAATCCTACCTGGTCATAGTGTATTATTCTTGTGATAAGTTGCTAATATTTTATTTAAACTTTTTGCATCTATATTCATTAAGGAAATTGATCTACAATTTTCTTTCTCTGTTTTGACTCTTCCCAGTTTAAGTATCAGCACCATATTTGTATCATAAAAAGAATTTGGTAAGACTCCTTCCTCACCTATTAGAAGGAAAGTAGAAAATTGGGAAAGAATTTTTATAACCAACATCTCTGATAAGGGCCTCATTTCTAAAATATATGGAGAATTAAGTCAAATTTATAAGAATACAAGTCATTCTCCAATTGATAAATGGTCAAAGGATATGAGTAGGCAGTTTTCAGATGAAGAAATTAAAGCCATCTATAGTCATATGAAAAAATGCTCTAAATCCCTATTGATTAGAGAAATGCAAATCAAAACAACTCTGAGGTACCACATCACACCTATCAGATTGGCCAACGTGACAAAACGGGAAAATGATAAATGTTGGAGAACATGTGGGAAAATTGGAACACTAATGAGTTGTTGGTGGAGTTGTGAACTGATCTGATCCAACCATTTTGTTTTGTTTTGTTTGGCTTGGGGTTTTTTTTGCTTTTTTGCTGAGGCATTTGGGGTTAAGTGACTTGCCCAGAGTTATACAGCTAGTGAGTGTTATGTGTCTGAGGCTGGATTTGAACTCAGGTACTTCTGACTCTAGAGCCAGTGCTCTATCCACTGCGCCACCTAGCTGCCCCTGATCCAACCATTTTGGAGAGCAATTTGGAACTATGCCTAAAAGGCTATAAAAATGTGCATACCCCTTGTCCCAGCAATAGCACTTCTAGGGCTGTATCCCAAAGAGATCAAACAAATGGGAAAAGGACCCACATGTACAAAAATATTCATAGCAGCTCTTTTTGTGGTGGCAAAGAATTGGAAATTGAGAAGATGGCCATCAGTTGGGGAATGGCTGAACAAGTTGTGGTATATGAATGTAATGGAATACTATTGTGCTGTAAGAAATGATGAACAGGCTGACTTCAGAAAAACCTGGAAAGACTTATATGGTCTGATGCTGAGTGAAGTGAGCAGAACCAAGAGGACTTTGTACACAATAACAGCCACGTTATGCAATGACTAAGATTGTTAAACTGAACCCTTCTCAGCATTACGAGGATCTAAGACATCTCCAGAGGCCTCGGGATGGAAAATGCTGTCCACATCCAAAGAAAGAACTATGGAAGTCGTATCACTATCACTTACTTTTACCTTCTGTTGAGTTTTGTTTCATCTTTCTGATGGTTCCTCCTGTTGGTTTTAATTTTTACTTACAACTTCACTAATGTGAAAATATGTTTAATGGGTATGTAAATGTAAAGCCTATATCAGATTGTGCGCCCTCTTGGGGAGGGCGGGGGGGAGGAAAATTTTCAACTCAAAAGCATATGGAAGTAATTGTTGATAAATCAAAATAAATTAATAAAATTTTTTTAAAAAAAGAAAAGAAATAATGAGCAGGAGGATTTTGGAAAAACCTGGAAAGACTTATATGAACTGATGCTGAGTGAAGTAAACAGAACCAGGAGAACATTGTACATAGTAACAGCCATGCTGTGCAATGGCTAACTTTGATAGACTTAGCCCTTCTCAGCAATGCAAGAATCTAACACATCTCCAAAGGTCTCATGATGGAAAATGCTATCCACATCCAAAGAAAGAACTGTGGAATTTGAATGCAGATTGAAGCATACTATTTACTATTTTTTCCCTTCTGTTTTGTTTTCTCTTTCTTGTGGTTACTCCTATTAATTCTTCCTTACAACATCACTAATGTGAAAATATGTTTAATAGGAATGTATATGTAGAGTCTATATCAGATTGTGTGCCATCTTGGTAAGGGAGGGGGAGAAAAATTAAAAACTCAAAAGCTTATGAAAGTAATTGTTGATAAATCAAAATAAATTAATTTTAAAAAAAGAAAGAAAATAATCCATCGGAGCATTTCCTCTCTAAATGGTTTCATAGATTTTCCTAAAATTCTTCAAAATGTATTCAGGAGCACTTTGAAAGAAACTGTGGTTGTAAGAAGAAATGCTTGATGTACATTTCCCCCCAGTGCCCACCCTCATAATGTATCTGTACAGGAAAAGTTGTTTGTTAATAAATTAACGCAAGGATGAAAAGCCAAAGACACTTAGCAGTGCCATTTTGAACAATAAACATGGACTCCAGGCTCAGGGTCTTCTTTGGATGTTGGCTACTAAGTAGGGTCAGTGGGTCTAGAGCCAGGTGGCAAGAGGCAGTGAAACCAAGATGAAGTAAGTGCTCAGATTAGCAGTCTTCTCCCCAGACATTATACCCATTTGGCTGAATTTGGGGTGGAGAGGAGTGAATAGGATGTTCAGGAGAAAGACAACTGACCTCATAATCTACTTTGAGATTACTGCATTCTCAGGATGTTTCTGGCATCCCTGGTACCTTTACAGCACTTACTATCCCTTCATGTAAAGTGAAATACTGCCTATCAGCCTGAGTGTTCAAGAAGGTGTTCACTTCCATTCTCTTTCCCTATACAGGTTTAGAAGAGATGGAGAAAGAGTTAGTATGAAGGGCTGTCCCACAATCATCTAGATCCTCTCAGCCATGGCATCCATGGAAGAGGAGGGGCTCACATTCACGTCCTCTCCTTATAGCACTGTTTATGTGATGACACTTGCTGTCAGCACTCAGAGCCATAGAAAAGTCCTTGAGGACAGGAACAGGAAAAGCTCCCCAGGGCTAAGGCCAGGAGAGGTATGTGGACAAAAACCAAGTCAGAAGAGGATGTGAGGTGCCAGGTCGGTTAGGAGCACAACCAGGGCATTTGGGAGTGCTGGCACCAAAATACTCTATAAAGTCCGGTGACAATACAGTTGTTCCCATCACCCATGAGGAGTTTAAGATGCTTTGCCTGATCTATTGGAGGCATGGAGGAAAGGTGTCACCAAAATGGTGGAAGGCTAGGCTTTAATAGACACAAAGGAGGCTTGTCTCCTATGGCCTTGGAATGTGAACAATGTGAAGGAGCCCAACCTCAGAAACTGGCAGTGATTTCTGGTCTGCAGCCCTATTGAAGAGAACAAGGACCCATCACACCGTGTCTCTGGGCCTTAGCTTTCCTTGGGTGTAACCAGCAGGAATGAAGGCTCAAGGAGGAGGGGAGAGAGAGGACAAAGAGTGAGGGGGAGGAAAGTCGGTTTGAGGAGAGAAGTGAGGTGAGGTAGAAGGAGCAAAAGAAGGAAGGGAGAAAGAAAAGAGAAGGAAAGAGGAAGGAGAAAATTGAATGAGAAAAAAGAATGAAAGAGAAAGAATGAGGGAGAAAAAAAAGAAAAGCAATTATCTACAGAGCTGGTTAGTGTAGCATTAAATAGTAAAGACGAAACATAGGGCAACTAGGTGGCCCAGTGAATAGAGCACTGGCCCTGGAGTCAGGAGGACTGGAATTCAAATCTGGCCTCAGACACTTGACACTAGCTGTGTGACCCTGGGCAAGTTACTTAACCCCAACTGCCTTGCCCCCCTCCAAAAAAAAGATGAAACATAGTCTGATTTTAAAAGACTCATCCCTTGTCTTTTATTACTCAGTAACAGATCTGGTTGTTTGGGTTAGTGAAACTGGTTTTTTATTTGTTTATATAGACACTAAATCACAGATGAACCACTCTTTAAGGAATAGCTAATTTTTCAGTCTTCTGGGTTAGGGATCCATGATTTGCTCTTTTGAGAGAAAAATGTTATGTTACCGCTGCACTTTTCTCCAAGAACAAGGAGTAGAAAAGGGAGCTATTAATATCTATTATTAATGATTTTTTAAAAAGATTCTGAAGACAGCAAACACAAAAAAAAAGTTTCTATATGGAAAGTAGAACAGAAAAGGGGGGGGTATTGTGAAACCTCTAATCACAATAAACAAAGGAATAAAGCATTAATATTGACCTAGGATAAAAAAAAATCTGTGTTTTGAATAAGCCACTTATTTGTCAGGAAGTGGGTAGCATGCTGTCATTGGTTCTCCTGTGGCAGGTCATTGCATTAATCAAGTCTTTCAAAGTTCTTTTTGCTATTATATAAATTGTTCTCATTGTGTTCACTTTGCATTAGTTCATACAAGTCTTCCCAAGTTTTTCTGAAACCATTCCCTTCATTATTTGCAACACAGTTGTGTTCCATTACATTCACATACTCTAATTATTTCAGCCATTTCCGATGGATGGGGGTCCTCTTTGTTTCTAGTTTTCCACTACCACAAAAAGAGCTGCTGTAAATATATTTGTACACGTCAGTCCTTTTCCTCTTTCTCTGATCTCTCTGGAAGTATAAAAGTGCTATTGCTTCTTCAAAGGCTATGACCAGTTTACTGATTTGGGCAGGTAGGGGGGAGAGCACAATTTCAAAAGCAATGGCTTTTTCTTCTGCACAACAGGTAACAAATTTCAGTGTATGTGCTTAAAACAAATACATGTTCCTCGTGCTCTGTTGCTTCTTTATCCTATTTCCCACATTTAGGTAGCTTCTTGTCTCTCTTTTTGCCAGGAATGCTGATGCAGACCAGGAGCCTGAAGTTTCTCGCCCTTGCAACCCAGTGTCTTTCATCCCTGACTTCCAGCACAGGATAGCGACAGATGGAGGAATTCAACTGATTTTGACGAACAGGTAAGAAACCCAAAGAAATATTATCAGTACACCTCAGGAAGAGGACCACATTGACTGACTGGTAGAGAAGATGAGCAGGAAATGGGGTCACAATATTGGCCATGGGATTAGAGTGAGGAGATCAGAATTCTGAGGGTGTAAGAAAGCTAGTGTCCAACAAGTCAACTCAACAAGCATTTATTAAGTACCTACTATGTACTAAGCACTATGGATACAAAGAAAGGCGCTCTCAGGCTAATGGGGGAGACCCCAATCTAATGACTATGAACCAACCAGATATAGACAGTATCATTGTGGGGTCCACAAGAAGATGGAATTTAGGTTAAGACTTACAGGAAATCGGAAGACATAAACAGCATAAATGGAATCTTAGAAGGAAGGGAGGTTGGGGGAGGAGGAGGCTGGTAAAGGTGTCCTGCAGAAAGTTGGATTTGAACTGAGTTTAAAGGATGGGGGGATCATGTGGGGTGGACACCAAGAAGACCAGTGTAGCAGGATCCTAGAGACAAAGTATAAGGAGATTAGAAAGATAAATGGGATTTAAATGCCAAAGAGTAGAGTTTATATTTGACCCTAAGGGTAATAGGAAGGCACTGGAGTTTATTACTAAATAAAGGAAGGGGCTCGATGTTCACTTTAGGGAATTTACTTTGTCAGCTAGGTGTCAGTTGGAGGAGAGAATGGGAAGACTTGAGATAGGGAGACCAACGAGAAGATTGTTGGAGTAGTCTAAAGGACAAATGATGGGCCCCTAAATAAGAAGGTGGATGTATGAACAGAGAGAAGGGACATAGAAGAGAGATTCTGTGAAGGCAAAAATGAAAGGATTCATGTTTGGACTTTATTGGTTCAGCAGTAAAGAGCTGAAGAGGTCAATAGACATTAAAGATTTGTCTGGCAATGATGTGCAGAGTGAATTGTTGTTGCTGGAGGGACTGTGGAAAGAAAGGCACCCAGATGATGTTTGAGCTGTGAATTGGTCCAACTATCCTAAAAAATCAATACCCTTTTATAGCCTTTTTTAAGGGGTTGGGGAGTGGACATCCCATTGTTAGGCATATAGATGACCCGTAAACCAACAATTTTCATTGTAGAAAATTGGAAAGGGGGTAGATGGCATAATAATTGAGTTGTTAAACAAATAGTGATATACAAATGGAATGGAATGAGATGGGGTTCTGTTCCTACCGCTGACCTTGCTACCTGGGTGACCTTTGGCAAAATACTGCCCTTCCCTGAATTTGACGGGTTTGGACTCAATGGCCTGGGAGGTTCCTTCCTGATCTATGAACCTACAATTTCTGCTATAACTGTTACAGAGTAAAGTATCAAAACCAGAAAAAATGAGATGCAGAATGACCATGGAAGACAAAAAAAGATTAAAAAAACCCCCAAGTGTTGTAAGATCAGCATGATCCAACCTGGCTCAGAGAAGAGTCTGGGGTGGAGGATTATGAGTATGGAATATTAAATACATTCTTTAAGTTGATGTGGTGGCTTGCTTTTAATTTTATTATGAAAGTTTGGCTTAATGGGGAGGCAAGAGATATTCAGAAATGAGGATAATGTAAAAAAACAAGCTATCAATTAAAATAAGATAGAATTTTTAAAAGGGATAATTAGGACAGGAGAGAGAAAGGTAAGCATGAAAGTAATTTAGAAACTGATCATATGTGGAGCTCTAGTGGGAAGCAGAAGATTTTGCCCACAAGTGCCTTAGAAAGTAATGGTGCCATTAACAGAATTTTGAAAGTTGGATGAGAGGACGAGGATTTGGGAGAAAGTCCATTTAGTGTTAAAAGATTCATAGATTTCCCCACTGAAAATTGGTGAATCCATTAATCCTTCCTTCCCCAAATGGAAGTACAAATGGATAGGAAGACATCCCAAGTACTCATTTTAGGCCAAGCCTTAAAATGCCATAAGGACCATAAAATTCAGTTACAAACCACTTTACTCATCTTCTCCTGCAGTGCCAAAATGACCAATAATCAAGAAAACGTTAAGTGTTGAGGTAATGAATGCTTCTGACTTCCTTCCCCCTGGGCTAAATTATATTTTATTTTCAATTCCAAATTCTCTCCCTTCCCTACCCTTTTCTTTTCCTCCCTCTTTGTGCAGGCAAGAAAAACCACCCATGTAAGGAATGACAGACAGCTGAGTCCCCACTCATTTGTTCCTCCTCAGCAATACCCTGCCAATCCTTCTCACCCTACTGGCCCCATTCACCATCCACTAAAAACCATTTCCACCCCAACCATGATTCTCTTGATATGAACCCCAAGAAGGAGTGTGCCAGGCTTCTTCATTAACAGCATTGGCAATGTTGATACATGGTACCAGGCACAAATTTGAGCTTGTTAAGTTGAATACAATAATGTCATTACAGATGTTTGCTGGATCAGGGCAATCCTGTAATTGGAGCTTTCTGCACCCACCTGGGGATCAGAAGACCTGGGCTCTCGTCTTGCCTGTGTCCCTAACTTATTATGCCTCTGTGGGCACATCTTTTCAACTCTCTAGAGCTCACTTTCCTCATCTACAACGAGAAATATTTGAGATTGTTATCATTATTTGAATATTTAACATTATTTAATCTCTCAAAGACCCTCCTAGCTTTAACATTCTATATTCCAGTTATCTCCAAACTTTTTTAGTCATGCACTCCTATCTGTAAAATATTTTTCTTTACAAATTATATACAAGTATTGCTATACTCAGCAGCTAGGTGGTATAGTGGATAGGCCCTCTTCTCTGGGAATTCAATTCAGTTCCCTCATCTATAAAATGAGGGGTCTGGACAAGGTCTATAATCCTCTGATCCTTATATTGATATATTTTTGTATTTGTTTGTATATTTTGTATATTATATTATATTATATATTTTGTATATCTTTGTGTGTGTGTGTGTATATATATATATATACAGGGGCCCAGGATCTCTGCTAGAGCTGTTGCTTTAGGGAAAATAGGATTCCTCAATTGAGATGCAGTTGGGGCTGTGGTCACTGGGCACATGTATATTCCCCTGGGCGGCCTTGATGCTCCCTGCATACCTACTGTTTCCAAAACTCAGACAGACTAGGCAACATTGGCAACCAAGGTCTACCACTGTTCCAAGGGGAACAGAGATGCAGGTGCATCCCTTGGGTATCCAGTTGAGCTGACTTGCCCTCCCTGCCCACCCCCTGGGAAGGCACAGGAAAGACTCACATGAAAATAGGGAAACCTGGTCTCATCAAGATGCCATGATTGCTTCCATTTGTAAGGAAACCTCCTCGCCTATCTCTCATGCTCCTCTCCTTTGGGTCTCCACCCTCCTTCTCCATGGCTAGCAGTCTTTTGTTGCTCAGCCCCCCCGTTACGTGCCCTGCACACGCAGTCCCTACCCCTTCCACAGGTTCCTATACAATTATCAAGTTCTGTATGCTAACACGCTAAATCCTACCATCAATCACCAAGCATTACTTAAGCTCCAGTGTGCCAGACATTGTGTTAACCACTAGGATTATAAAAACAAAAACAAAACAGCATCTGCCCTCACAAAGCTTATGTTCTGTCTTCAGACACTGGATGTACATGTAAATGAGGTCATTTTAAGGGGGAGATATTAGCAGCTGGGGAGAATCAAAGTCGTGTTTGAACTGAACCTGAAGGAAAGTCAGATTTAAACATTAGACCACAAACACACTCTTCATAGTTCATTGCATTCCTTCTCATCCTCCAATCGAACTGCATTAGAAATTGAATAAAGACTTTCTTTTTTTTAGGACTTAATCTTTATCGAGATATTCTTACTTATAAAAATATTGTGTTTATCTAATACTTGGTATTGCTTCTGAAGTGCTATGTTATCATGGCTCTAGCTACAGTATCATCCCCCATTCTTATCTCTACCCATCTGCCAACTATCTTACCCCAGAAAGCTACAAAGGACTCAGGACATAGCGGTCACTGATCTTGGTCCTTTTCAAGTGCCCTGTGGAGATGACCCTTGGTCCTTGAAGGCTATGGCAGTGGCTCATAAGCCCTGGCAGACTGCTACCCAAGTTTCTAATGTGGTCCCAGCAGCTGACTATCAGCTTTCCCAGGACCTACCTAGCCATCACTGGCAGAATAGTAGCAATAATGGGTAATCATAGTGGCATTTATAGAAAGAATTTTAAGGTTTACAAAGCATTTTACATCTGTCACCTCTATTACCATTTGATCTCAACAACCTTGTGAGGTAAGCACTATTATTATTATCCCCATTTTACATATGATGAAACTGAGGCAGAGAGAAGTCATGTGACTTGCCCAAGATCACAGTACTAAAAATGCCCAAAGCAGGATTTCAAACTTGGTTCTTCCTAACTTCAAATCCAACACTACCCACTTCATCACCTACATGCTTACTGGGACAACCACTTAGTAGTGAATTTTTTGGCCATGACAACCAGGGTCGACATACTAGTGAGGCAGTTGGAGATAGCAAGGCAGATATATGGGCTGCCTCTTTTCCCAGGCACTGAGAAATATCCTGGACCTTTTAGCACAGAGGAAATTTAAATGGCAATTTCTTACTGAAAAAGATGCCAAAGGTTCCCAGTGCAGGGGTCTCCAGCTTTCTCATTCTCTGCTTTCCGTTTTCCTTTGGGAACAGTACCGTGAAATTGAAGCAGACAGGAAAGAATGAGAGAGGGGCCCTGAAGAAGCCAGAGCCCCCTTCAATGTCACATTCCACTCTTCTTGTTCTCTGAGTAACAGCCAGCCAGAGAGAGCTGGAGCTGTGTCAGAGGGGCACGGGCATTTGGGTATAAAATCCCACTAGATCTGAACATTTAAAATCAGGGTATGTCTTGGCCGGCTCTGAAAAGGGCAGTAATGGGAAGTGACTACTATGGAAGAATTTTTAGATGCAGCAGGACTTGTGTGACCTTGAGCAAATCATATGTCTTCCTCGGCCTTTGGATATACCTTATACGTATATAAGTTGTTGGCATGTTAGCCTCCTCGTT